TCCCGCAGAGCTGCCGGGCAGAGGAAAAGTGCCTCCCCACGCCCGCTCCCCCCCTGCCAGCAACAGGCTGCCCCCTCCCCTGAGCAACAGGCTGGCGAACAGCAGACAAAAGCAGCCTCTCCGCCCCTCCTCCCCCTATACATGCTGGGCTCCCTGGGCAAACAAAGACTCCACCAAAACAAACAAAGTGCTGGCCTCATTGTGTTAGCAAAAAAAGGACCCTCCTCCTAGAACCCTGGGTGGTGTGTGGAAATAAAGCTATTAGCTCAAAGCATGGTGCAGAGCTGTTTGGTATTTGATGAGTTACTCTTTTAGTCCTGAGTTTGTCACAGGGACAGAAATAGATGTGAAATCTTCTGAACAGGGGAACAGACAGCAAAACAAACATTAGAGGGGAGTTAACCTTTCCCTATGCTATCCAAAACTAAAAAAAATGTTTGGCTAGAGTTTCCCCTACAATATGTACCAGTTCCGACTTACATACAAATTCAACTTAAGAACAAACCTACAGTCCCTATCTTGTACGTAACCCGGGGACTGCCTGTATTCATGTATCTCAAGCCTGGTTGGAGCACTTAGGCTACAAGAAGCTTGCACTCACATTCACTCCCTTGTCTCTGTGGGTACCTGCAGCAGTAATTTCAGTGATCCCTCCTGGGACCAGCACTATTTCCCCACAGTGATTATCAGTAGCCATCATATGGTAACATCGCCTAGCCCTCACCACCCTGGATCAATATTAAAATTACTGATCTAGAGAGGTAAGATGCTGTATTCATTAACACTCTCCAGAGTTAGCCAGTTATCTGAGGTTTTCTTTTAATTACAGAAAATACCTTGACCGTGTTGTCTTAAAAATCCAGTTTGAAACTTTCCCGGGATTCAGATTTGCAACTAGTTTTAAAATGTATAAATACATTCCATTGGAGATCCATTGCATCTGTGTGATGCTGCTGCTCTGTGGTGGCAAATTACAGGACCTCTGTTTGTAATTAAATAGCTATTGTTTTTTATTCACTCCTTGGTTTGATTGTTATCTGTTGTCAGGACCATGAACACTTAGCTTGCTTTCAGCAGCAAAGCACATAGAGAGTCAGGGATGCAGTAGGTATTGAAAAGGCAAAAGATAGCAATGTATTGGAAAGTCACAGATCATGCCTTTAGTCTGCCAGTTTTACCAAAATACTGATTAAGACCTTGATTCTGCAAAACCTAGGCACCTGCTTTATAAGCACACTAGTCTCACTGGCTTCAACAGGATGACTCATGCTCTTACAGGTTATGCACATACCTAATTGTTTGCAGGATCAAGGCCTAATTTTGTAAAACTAATTATATTAAAAGACTATGTTGACTTACTTTCTGCCATGGCCAACAATTATGGCTGGTGCATGCATGAGAGCAAATGCCATTTTACTTAACCTTGTAATGATACTTCAGTTACCTATGCATTCTTTATATCTAGTGATTCTGTAAGTAGACATACACTATGCCTTGTATGTCTCATGTCATTTTTGAATTAACCTGTTAAATACAGCTTAAAATATTTTTATTTTATTTATTCTATTTTTACTGAAATAGCCTGCATTATGATGTTAATGTACTATCTTTACTGGACATGATCTCACAACATATCCAGTGCTAAGTAATCTCCATGTACTATAGGTTACCTAAAAAGGTGGGTTTTGTAATTATTTGTAGTCACATTTTTATTCGCGTATGTAGAAGAAATGGCAAAACAATGTGTAAAGCTAATTCCTATTATTTTATAAATGCAACAAAGTAGAGGCAGATATCACAGATCATCTTTAATTAATATGCTCCTTTGCAAAAGCAAGGAGATTTATAGCCACAGCTAATGTCTACAGCCTAAAGCCTTTCCTTTGAATGCTACAGTTTTTAGATTTTATTTAAACCACTTATGATTTCATTTAAAGGGGAGAGGAGAAGGTTTTGTAAAGATATAAGAATCACCTACAGATTGCATGAAAGGACATTGATCCCACTTGCGGTATAAGTTCTTAGTGATAAACATTGTGTAAAGAGCTATATGTACCTCTTTCGAAAAAAGAAGTCCTTTCTTAGAGTTGCAGAATGTAAAGCTATGGAATAATTAATCCATTAAGATTCTTCTGTGTCATTTACTAAGATTTCTATATCCCTTTTCTTTTAATTTTATCAACTCTTCTAAGGCAATGAAGCAGGGACATAAAGCTTAGTAAATCACGTGCAAAAACAGCTATTTTTACTTTGATAGCTGATATTAGCTCAGCCTTTACAGCTTTAACATTTACACTGTTACTTCTATCTGTGCAGGCTTAGTTATCTTAATATATTGCTAAAAACCTATGCTGTACAGTCACCAAGCAAAAGTTTGATTTATTTAAATATTTGCAAACTAGAAAGGGAAAATGCACATTGTTTATCAGTCAGAGGTCAGTGTTATATAAAGCAGTTGATTGACACTGAAAAGAACTTTTTTTTTTTTGCTGTTGACCACTTTTACACATTTAAATGTAATCTGTTGTGAGAATAAATTTAGATGCATAAAATGCTTGACTCTTGTCACTAGTCTGTAAAGTTTGGAAATCCATTCATTCCTGGGACAGAAACTTGGTGGGGGAAGGAGAAAGTCTCAATGTATTTACTGTTTAGAGTTAATACCAATACACTGAACATTTCAGAAGAGAGACATTAATGTATTTTCTGAATTATTTAGTGGTAAATATGGTACATATTAAGGAACATATGTTACACTCTAATGCATAGCTTAAAATATAAATTGTTTTTAGGTCCTAGAAAGCATATTTTTAATGCAGAGAAGAGGAAGTCAGAAATTGTCCCTTTTAAAGGTTTGGTTTCATTTATATGTTGCTGGTGCAATTCAGGGCCAGTGTGGGAATACCTAAAATTTGCTAACAGCTGATGGTAGAGTGGCTTGTGAAGCAAGTTGTTCTCTAGCATCATATTTATTACTCCTGGCTCTTGCACAGTCTGGTCCGAGAAACTGAACCAGCCATGGAGCGCTAATCTTGATCTGAGACCCATTGGTGGGACAGCAGATGGAAACTTATAGTAATGTGCTGTACACCGTATGTGAATAGAGCTTGGACTTCCACTGCCAGATCAGTCAACTAGCATCTTTTAATGAGCACACTATTTTTTATCTTTGAGACAGTTTATACTTAGTTTGTTACAATATCCACTTAGTATTATTTAAAATGAAAAGATTAAAAAAACCTTTTTGCCTTCTCTTTCCCAACTGCAGAATCTCTCACCCCTGCTACCTACTCTAAGCTATTCTTAGTAACTGTTTAGAATAAATTAATATAATTTTCCCTTTATATTTTCTATTCCCTTTCTCTAAATTGTGGTGTCTCTGCTCTCACCCTCATTGTGAACTATGCTTTTAAAATAAAAGCACTGATTCCATTTCCACTGTTTGGGAGCCACAGCTAATGGGAGCTAGGGGGGACGAAGGCAGCACATGTAGCTGCCTATCTGTGCCCCAAACTAGGAAAAGCAGGGATATGTTGGACACCCACTTGCAGGAAGGGAATTGCCTAACATGAGCATCACCCAGCACCATAAAACCCCTCCGGTGCCCTAAATCCCTCACTCCTGGCCCTATACCCTGAACCAAAGTCTTCACCCACTGAAGCACTTATTCTGGTTAACTCTTAGTTAACCAGCACCCTCTTTCCTCCCACATGCCAGATAACAGAGCTTGTACTGTACTTTAATAGAATGACATCTTAATGTATTTAGCAAAATGCAACCGTATATTAGCTAGAAATGATTAACATTTAATGTGTTTAGAATGAGACATAGTTTAACTTGCAATCTGATGTTCACATATAACTAGAAATGCTGTTTATTATTTTCCTCCTCAATTACCAATGTCAACCATTTTGAATGTTTCTAAAGAAATTGTTAAAGGCACATAAATGTAAGCCAAAAAGCTTGCTGTTTTGGTATTCAGTGTTCCTATTTTGCTTACTTTTGTCACCTGCAGGGATACAGAATAAGAAACATTTTTGCCATGTATACTTCTGCCACTCTCAAACTATTTCATGAAAAGTAGCATTTGAGTTTGTATACCCGCCAACATTAGGCTGAAAATTATGATCGTTATAAACCATGTCAGTAGTGTGACATGTCAGATTATAAATCAGAATTCATTTTAACATTACAATATCTAGCCAGTTCTACAATGAAATTTTCTATTCAGTATTTTTAAAACAAAATATCCTCTGCTTCTTATTAAAGCACATCTGACTGAACAGGGCCATTTGTGCTCCCCAGCTGTGTGCACAAAATGTTCAACACAAGTACATAAAATGTAGGCATTTGAAAAATCCACTGGCATTTTAGAAAAAATGGTCTGGCTTATAATTTAGATTGTGCGGTCACATAGATAATGAAACTTTTCAACAAAGATGATAACTGAAAACTATAAGATCAGACAACCTTTTAATTTCATTGTTCTTATGTGAATTTTTACACCACTAAACAAAACTTGCAAACATTGCTTTTAAAATTTAGTATGCCCAGATATTTATAGAAGGGTATAAACAGAAGGCATGTGTCAATGTCACATTCTACTGATTAGCAATTAGATAAACAACTTTTGAGCTCATCCCCTAAGTATCTGCATAATCTACTATAGATGTTACTTTGTTTATTTTGAGTCAGAATTTAATAGCTGGTGTGAAACAACCACATAATAGACTCTTGCAAAATATTCCCCTGCTAGTTCCATAAAAGCCATTAAAAGGTACTCCTTAGAAATGTTCCCTTAAGATAAGTAGTGTCCTGCACAGATATACCCTGCTAGCATCTAAGTATATGAATCAACTAATATAGGAATGTTGACCATTTTAGAAATATAATTTCAAACGATGAAGAAATAACTATGAACCAGTTAAAACATTTCATCTTCAAATCCATGGTCGAGAGTGCTTAACCATAGTTGAAGGTAAGGTTTCCTTTGATTTGATGACTCTCTTGGATAAAGAAGGTATAAAGTCACGTGCTGAGCTCTTTTTTTCAATCCAGCTATAGTAGTAATGTTGAGTTGAAATTTGAGATTTATTCCCTTGAGGATTGAAGTATGGCACCATTACTGGAGGCAGAACTATTTCCACAGGTTTCAATACAACCATTTTATCTTCAGCCCGTGGCTTTCTAATGTGTGTCCGTCTCTCAAACACCTTACTCATAGATGACAAATTGGGTGTATTCTTCAGCATTCCTGGCAAGGAGGAGTTTGAGATGGGTTTGGTAATTTTCTTCAGTTGAATGGAACTGTTTGTTTGCTTCATATTCTTTTGTGAAATATCACTAATTGCTTTAATTGGTGAAACTTCAGAGTTAGTATCAATAGGTATCATTTCTCGGTTCAGGAACTCCACAATATTTGATTGTACCCAAGTATCTTTAGGAACATTTCTTTGCGGTGTTACTTTAGATTTTTTCTTCCTCTTCTCCTCTCTCTTTGATGATTTTCCTATATCAAGACCTTCCAGTAATCCTTTTGCTGCAGCACGAGCTAAAATGTCTTTGACAGACATGATTTCAGCTGGATCCCTCTGAAATTAAAGATACCAATATGTGTACTCTGATTTAATTCCCTAGCTTACACCTGTACTCCATTGTTAAATGCAATGAGTCATGGTATCTGGGTACAATGAGGTGTATCAATCACATGCTGGCAATGCAGGAGTTAATAGTTGGGGACTAAGAGACCACACTTCCTCACCTTTGTGGGGCACGCTTCCCAGGAGAGAGTGCAAATAAAAGGAAGCAGTTTGTCTCCCTCTTGCTCCTCCTGGCTAAAGGGGACAGCAGTCTTCTGCTGCTGGGACTCTAATCTACTGAGGCAAAACTTAACTAATGGAATACAGAACATTACTATCCATGTAGTTACCTTTGTATGCCCAATCTTTTTAACAGAGTCTGTGGTCTAGTTTAGAGAAAAGAAATTGCATTCCACACTTGTGTGTTCTATCTGCAGTTTTTCTTAATCACTATGTGCTAGTGACAAAGGAACTTCAGCAAGGTGACAGAGTATTTCTATACTAATTATTTTTAGATGCTAAGAATATCACTGGGATTCACAAAGCTTGAGTTTGGTGCATAGTCACCCTATATAATGAAGTGGGGAGGGGTACCTCAGAATGGGAATCTTAGAAGCCTGCAGACTAGGTGGCTCCTTGTCTGAGCTAACCAGTGGGAGACACCAAGCTGAGAGCAAGCCTTCCTCTTAGCAAGAAGCTGGGGAAGAAGGGCAAGAGAAAAGGCACCACCTTCCTCATAACTTTTTAGCCCAGACCCACCATCCTCTTAAAAAAAAGAAAGGAGGTGCCACTTCTCAAGTGAGTTGTAGGCAATGGGTTATAGGACACTCTGATGTGGGATTCTATCTTGCTGTAGCTATTTCCTTGTGAACATATAATTCAACAGAAACTGAGCAGGAGGACTGGATCCTGGGTCTCCTACCTACGCAGGTGAATGCTCTAACTACCAGGCTACAATGTCCTTATTATTCTTGCTTGCCTTTCACTTTCTGTTGAACCTATTCTATGTTGTGGTTAAATGATGAAAGACTCGTTTGTTCCCAGCTCTTTTTAACAGGAACACCTGTCCTTCCCAGTTTGTGCACTATTCTGGGGTTTAGCAGTCTGGACACAGTACTGGTGCACTCATGCCCAGAGGCAGAAACATCTGTGAAAAGGAACGTATACTGAATTGAGACATAAAAAAGGCTCAGGGCAGCTGAGCAGGGATTTTTGGCACCTAAAATTGGCAGTTAAGTCCCTTTTGTGAATTTAGGCCTATATCTAACTGATGTATAACGTGAAAAATATATCACCATTTCTGAACATTGAGTGGGCAGGCAGGGAAAGGGGAGCAGAATCAGCCTCCATCTGGCTTCTGCGTTCTGTCTCCGACTGCCCCACTCTTGAAGTAGGCCCTGTGGCCTGGCTCAGCCCCAGCAATGGCCCCAGGTATTGTCCAGCCAACATGGCTGCGCTTGGGGCCCAGCACCCATCTGGCCACAATGGCCCCAACCCATGACCTGTCCATAGGAGGGGTTGGCAACAGCCCCAGCCCTGTTGCAGCCACTATCTGCCCACCATGATCCTGTAGCTGCCTGGCCCCGGTGGTGGTAGAATCTCCCTCTCTGGAGATATGAGTGAAACATACATTGTAAAAAGTATTACTGAGACATTTGCCTAGTATTAAATTATTTAACCTATCAATTCAGCTCTCAAGCTAGATATATTCAGGGGTGAAATTAACTTAAATTTCTTACAGGTTCTGCCCAATCACAACCTGTTGGTGGGATTGCAGTACAGTATGACAATACCTGTAAGAAATGTTAAGTGTGGGGCTCGGGGCAGAGGGTTGGGGTGTGCAGGAGTTAAATCAGAGGCTGTTGACGTGGGGGATGCAGGAGTCAGGTTTGGGGCATATGAGGGGTTGAGGTGGAGGTGCATGAGTCATGGTTGGAGTTATGAGAGGCTCAGGGCAGGGCTGCAATGTGTGGGGGATGCAGGAGGCAGGGCAAGGGACTGGTGGCGGGGGCCTGGGGCAAGGTTATAGAATCATAGGACTGGAAGGGACCTCGAGAGATCATCGAGTCCAGCCCCCCACCCTCAAGGCAGGACCAAGGTCCGTCTACACCATCCCTGACAGATGTCTATCTAACCCGTTCTTAAATATCTCCAGAGAGGGAGATTCTACCACCACCGGGGCCAGGCAGCTACAGGATCATGGTGGGCAGATAGTGGCTGCAACAGGGCTGGGGCTGTTGCCAACCCCTCCTATGGACAGGTCATGGGTTGGGGACAGGCCATTGTGGCCAGATGGGTGCTGGGCCCCAAGCGCAGCCATGTTGGCTGGACAATACCTGGGGCCATTGCTGGGGCTGAGCCAGGCCACAGGGCCTACTTCAAGAGTGGGGCAGTCGGAGACAGAACGCAGAAGCCAGATGGAGGCTGATTCTGCTCCCCTTTCCCTGCCTGCCCACTCAATGTTCAGAAATGGTGATATATTTTTCACGTGCTGCCATTCCCTCCCAATAAGCCAGCTGGGAGTGTACCCCCAGCTGATCCTTACCAGAGTGCTGTCAGATCGTGCCAGAGCAGCACACCACCTCTGGATATATTTAACCTAAGTATTATGGAGTTAGAAAGAGGGATGGGAATGATACTGAGGGCTAGAATATTTAGTCTGAAATAGCTCAGTGAACTTTCTATAGAAATGGTGGGAGCTCCATCTGTGGCAAAATCTAACATCTAAAAGTATTGGGGGGGCTGGACTCCTGCACTGGCTGAAAGTTAGACTTGATCATTTAATTTTTTTTTCCCATTTAGAATTCTCATAACACACCTTGTTGTCATTACCTAGGGATGATATGCACTATCGACTAATCGCATCCCCCTCAGCTGCCACTCTGCATTGTTTAGCATAGGGAAGCTGGTGCATGGAGACACTGGGTCAGTCCCTGTTCCAGGGTCTCTTATCACGCAGCATACAACCATCTCCCCACCTTGCGGCCACTCTGCATTTTACAGCCCTGGGAAGTCTCTTAAGAGATGCATTTTAACATCCCTAGACTGAATGAGCAAATCAATCATATATTTGACTTCCATCATTAATTACCTTCACCATTTTTTCCCATGAGAATTCATCCCCTGAAGAAAGAGAAATGACAAGCCACCTCAAAAGTACAGGTTCAACCTCTCTGGTCCAGCATGATTTTAGTTAGCCAGATGTCCACTTATCGTGGGGTAAGGCCAAGTTTCCTGTGGTCCAACAGAATTTGTTTATAGCTGCCAGTCCTGGATCTCGTTGTTTAGCTCTCATTTACTCCTAAATGTGTCTTCTGAGAGATCAGCAACCAATGGAAATACTGGTATGCTGTTAAGTGTACACGTGTCAATACAGCAAAAGATAGAACTACTGTATTGCAGAAACTGGAAAAGGGCACATTGATACATTGTTCCATTTATTCACCTCAGCAAATAAAAAGAGCCACTCACTACAATACTGACTGCCTGTGGTTCTGCAAATACCCTGGTTCGACATGCTGGACTAGAGAGGTTCAATATGTATCATCTGTGGTCATCATTTTTCCAGCCCAGGAGAGCACTTATGTAAACAAAAACTAGGGCAACTATTCTTTATACAATTTAAAAGCTTGACACGGCAAACACAGCATGTAATGCTTATTATGGCCAAGAGTAGCCCAGACATAGGAGCAGGATCAAAGCTGGAAACTACATTCTATATTGTATTTTAGCTAAATCTGTTAGTTTCAGTAGAAGCTGTATTTTGGACTTTATCAAGTGTATGTAATAGTATGCATATGTTTGGAAGGAGAGCCTTTGCACTTTAAAATAGGTAATTTAAAAAAGATGTTTTTCTAGATACAAAACACTCAAAATTTTTAAATTTTAGGTTTAAAAGCAGGACGACAAAATTGCGATCAGAATTCTAAAAGGAAAAGTGGGGTAAAAACCAGACTTCTTTTGAAAAACTTAAAAACCAACAAATAGTCTTGAAGTACCTCAGAGACTAACAAAACATGTAGATGGTATCATGAGCTTTGGTGGACACAACCCAGTGCTTCAAGACTATTTGTTGAGTTTTAAGTTTTTTCCAGTTACAGAGTAACTCAGCTACCTCTCTGAAGCTTCTTTTGAACAGTTCATCAAAATAAGCTCCTTCATTTTTTTTTGGCAAAGAAATCTAGAGTTGGAGACAGTACTGGTGTGTGTCAATTAGTATATTACGCTCTCTCTCTCTCTCTCTCTCACACACACACACACACACACACACACACACACACACACACACACACACACACACACACACACAAAATGGGACCTCCCTGGTCGCCCTGAGGACCCAATTGGTCCCAGATGAGAAATTTTTCTAGACCAAGGGATGTCATTTCAGCTTCACCCTTCCCAACCCCCGGCTGTCCAGCTGATTTGCACGTCAGCCCCTGTCCACTCTCCAGCCCTCTGCACTGTGCTGAGACTCTCTGAGCCTGGAACATGCACAGTCATGCCAGACCACTGATGTTTCGGGACCAGAGAATCCTCGATTTTAGAGGTGTAACTTGTATATTGTACAGTAGACAACATTCAAAAGATTCTACTGAAAGAAGCATCAAAACATTCATGTAAAATGAATTACAACAAATACTTTCTAAAAACTGTTTATTTTGGGGATTCGGTCCTCACTGGAAACTTTTTGCCTTACAATCCATGGTTACATACAGTGGCGTAGTTGAGGAGAGGGAGGGCAGTTGTCCCTGGGCGCCACGCTAGGGCGAGTGCAGAGAGAACGGTGCAGGCGAGTCTGACGTGGCTGTGGCAGGGCCAGGCAGTCCCAGACCTGCCTGTGCTGTTCTCCCTGCTTGCACCAAGGGGCAACTGCCCCCTGTCTCTCCCCACCCTTGCTACAACCCTGGTTACATAATAGGAGAAAATTCTGCTTCGATATTAGTGAGTCACGGAAACATGTATAGCAGTGCTTTGATCCAAGGTAGGCTGTGAACAGCTTCATTCTTTAACAGTCTCTCTGCTTAACACAGTTTCAATCACCATGTTAAACATACCATGGTAACAGGGAGCAAGGGGACTGGGGGGGAAAAAAAGAGTAACTGCATACCAACCCAATCCTCTCTAAAAATGTGGGAGAGCTAAGAACTAGATCAAGCAGTACAATAGATTAAATTTGTCACACAGCACCACCTCTTTGATATATAAACAGTAAACAGAAAATGTGAGCTTTCAAGCATATCTTAGCATAGTGCAGTTGGATATTTCAGTTGCACTTGCCTCTAGAAAAACTATATTGCACTGTGTGCTAGTTTCTTCAGTCTTTTGCGTAGCACATTGCAACAGCTACTAGTTCACTGTCTTGCTGTTATTATTACAGTGAAGTCAGGTAAATTATGAATATTCCCTTCTGTCTATTAGTTTTAATTTGTATTAAAAATAGAGGCAATCATATATACAATGTTTTAAACAAGTACTTTTCCCAATGCATACTTTTATGGCTTACCTGTCTTGCTAGAACAGCTAAAAAACAGCAATTGGAAATCTCTGATGGCTCCATTTTGAAAAAAATATCAGAAGGGCTCTCTGTTTCTGAGTTGCACCACAGAGGAGGACTAAGCCTGTAAATATTACAAACTTGTAATTTTAAATGTGAAATAAGGAAACAGTTATTTAAGTAGAGTACTGTTGAATCATACAGCTTCTACAGTACATAGACTGATTTTTCTTACTAACAAAATAGGGTGTCTAACATGCAATTTATATTACTCACTTAAAATACAATTATGATTAAATTGTCAAATTCTGTGACAATTCTCAATATTTTCTCCCTATATCTATATATATATACAGATGATTTTCCTGCCAGGTGACAGAATGATATCATCACATCATCAGTCAACAGGCTCTCTTAGCAAGGTGAAAGCAGCTGGAGACGGTAGATGAGTGAGTGAGTGAGTAGAGGGCACAGCCCCTACTAATTAACATGAACCCTTTACCAATAATAATCCTGTACTAAAATTGACACTTTTTAATGTTCTTTATTAATTTCAGTGAGTTTATGAAAATGTAAGTCCAATTATCAAACCATCACTGGGCTTTGAGTAAACAGAGAAAATAAAAATGTTGATTTGTACTAAACACAAACACATTAATTAAAATGCATTAAATACATTTTTTTCTTTTTTTAATAGGATAATATCACATTTAAATTATATGTGAAGGTTCCTTGTGTGTGTTGCTACATTTTAAAACTTAAGGACAGCTGTGTTAAAGGCATCTACACTAGGGTTGGCCATGTCTAGCTAACAATTTGTCATGATGGAACCAGTCTAAATTGAATCCTAAGTATAGAATCATAGAGCTGGAAGAGACCTCGGAAGGTCATCAAGTCCAGCCCCCTGCCCAAGGCAGGACCAAGCCCAACTAAATCAACCCAGCCAGGGCTTTTTTAAGCCGAGACTCAAAAACCTCTAGGGATGGAGATTCCACCACCTCTGTAGATAACCCATTCCAGTTCTTCACCACGCGCCTAGTGAAATAGTTTTTCCTAATATCCAACCTAGACCTTTCCCACTGTAACTTGAGACCATTGCTCCTTGTTCTGCCATCCGTCACTACTGAGAACAGCCTTTCTCCATCCTCTTTGGAACCTCCTTTAAGGAAGTTGAAGGCTCCTATACAATCCCCCCTCACTCTTCTCTTCTGCAGACTAAACAAACCTAAATCCCTCAGTCTCTCCTCATAGGTCATGTGCTCCAGTCCCCTAATCATTTTGGTCGCCCTCCGCTGGACCCTCTCCAATGTGTCCACATCCTTTCCATAATGGGGGGCCCAGAACTGGAAATAATATTCCAGATGTGGCCCACCAGAGCTGCAAACTTTCAGAGGATGCAATCTATCCCCTCATCCAGGTCATTAATAAAAATGTTGAACAAAAGCAGTCCTAGAACAGATCTTTGAGGTACTCCGCTAGAAACCGACCGCCAACCTAACATTGAGCCGATGAACACTACCTGTTGGGCCCATCAGTCTAGACAGCTTTCTATCAATCTTACAGTCCATTTATCCAATCCATACTCCCTTAACTTGCTGGCAAGAATATTGTGGGAGACCGTATCAAAAGCTTTGCTTAAGTCAAGGTATATCACATGCACTGACTTTCCCATGTCCACAGAGCCAGTTACCTCATCATAGAAGCTAATCAGATTGGTCAGGCATGACTTGCCCTTCGTGAATCCATGTTGACTATTCCTGATCACTTTCCCCTCTTCCAAGTGCCTCAAAATGGATTCCTTGAGGATTCCCTCCATGATTTTTCCGGGGACTGAGGTAAGGCTGATTGGTCTGCAGTTCCCTGGATTGTCCTTCTTCCCTTTTTTAAAAGATGGGCACTACATTTGCCTTTTTCCAATCATCTGGGATCTCTCCCGATCTCCACGAGATGTACTATTATACATTTTGTTACTTAACACATTTTCTAATACTCTATATACTGCCACTGTAGACAGGGTCTTGGAGAACGTTTCGATAATCAAGGGTGGAAAATGGCATTACTTAAATTTTCCTCTAGCAAATTAGCATCCTCCGCCTTTTCTCCTATGACAAATTTTGTATTTGCATTTATATATAAAATATAAACTACTGTATTTGTTTACACTTCTGTACTGTGATTTACCCCTTCAATCCACAAATGTATACAGAAACCACTTTAACAATTATGGGAGCTGGATTGGATGGTTTGTATTATAAACCTCCACTTGAAACACTTTGTCTCCTTGGAAAAACAGCTTCAAAATCCAGGAGAACTAATACAGCCAGGCATCTTCCTTACTTTCATTATATTTTTCTATGAAGTTGCTCAAACAAGACACTAATGTCAATACATATGCAAGAAAGCCTCCGTTTTAAAGATCCCATGACACTTGAGTGGAGATTTGGTCCAATCACCTTGGCCAAAATTTCTCCTTCACCACTTCTATGCAGCAGGGTACACATTTGATTAGTCTTATTCTCAATTCCAGTGAAGTGAACTAGACTGGCGCCAAAAGTATTTTGGTTTGTGAAGGGTTTTGCAATCTTTTTGTACCTGCAAGATTCTATGTAAACAAAGTAAAAACTACATTACTATATATCTGAGTGTTTGCATACATCCATTTGTTCAAGAACTCCTCCTAAACGGTAGGAGCTAGGACCACGAAATTCAGTATACAGCTTCCTGTTATCATAACTTAAAGCAAGGTACAGGTTTGGTTATGTCAGGAAAATGAAATTGCTTATCATAAAACTATAAAGAAATAGGCAGAATCACCAGGCAGGTGAGAGGGACTTGCTGGGGGGGCACATCCCCATCCTGGTCCGGCCCGGCCCAAGCCAGAGCCTCCCACCCCCATGCGCCTTTTAGGGAGGGCAGTAAAGGCTAAAGCTTCCCCCCTCCCCAATACGTAAAGGGATGTTACTGGCTGTTCCCTTTGTCAGAGAGCAAGGGGAAAGTGCAGTTTCCTCACTCTGGCTGGGGAGCATAGGGGGCAGACAAATCTGGATCTGGCCCAACTGAGGCCATGCATCCCTTGCAGTGAGAGAGGGCTGGAATAGTCTTCTCTCCTTGTGGTAGCCTGCATTCTGAATTCTTTATCCCCATTCCCACCCCAGAGCAATGATTTAAATTAAGCATGTACCTTTTCATTTTATTTTCCAAAACCAAAAGCTGAGTAAAAGACCAAACAATGCCAAGTAAATCTTCTAGCGTACTATAAACAATGAGTCTGTGTCTAGACTGCATCCCTTTTCTGTAAAAGGGATGCAAATTAGACACATCGCAATTGGAATAAGGGATCTTTCGGAAAAGGCTTTATTTTTCGAAAGATCCCCGTCTAGACTGGCGCTTTTTTCCGGCAAAGCTCTGAGCCGGAAAAAAGCGGCAGCCATTTTTATGCAAATGAAGCAGGGGGGATTTAAATCCCTGCTTCATTTGCAATTGCGATGTGTCTAATTTGTATCCCTTTTACGGAAAAGGGATGCTGTCTAGACACAGCGTGATAGTACAATTTCTGAATACAGAATGATGCAATATCTAAAGCCCAACATTAGTACTGAGATAGGTTTTTTCTTATTACTTTAAGAGTCTGCATACACGTTAGGAATGTTAACAAACGTGTATTAGTGTAAACATGTAACCTCAGGATTTTTCTAGCAGCTGCATGTTTACATGCACAGGGCAGGCAGGAGCCTGTGCTCATGGGGAGCCGGTTTGAAAGTCGTTTCCCATGAGCACCAGCACCTGCCTGCCACCCCGCCCTTTCTCCCCAATAAGAGAGGCAGCAGCACCAGGAGGGGGGTGGGGGGAGGAGACAGGTGGCTCTGCAGGACCCAGGAGGCGCCAGGAGCCAGCTTGAAAGACAGCTTCCTGCATGTACCTACTCCCGTTTGTCCTCCCATCCCGTGCTGCTGCTTCTCTATCAAAGGGAGCCCAGTGCTTGTGAGAAGCCTATTTAAAAGCCAGCTACCCCAAGCACCAGCTCCTGCCTGACCTCCAGTGCTGCTGTGTCTAGATCTAGAAGCAGCAAGGGGGCAGGGTATATGTAACCCTCATGATTAACGGATAGGCCCAGGCTCATTGGTTAATTGTGTAAATGGCTATACATTAACTAGGGATGCCAGATGGTTCACAATCTACATTACATCTTATTTAGAAAATACCAGACATTTATATTTTCTCAATTTGTTTCCCGAACAAGAAAGTTCAAAACTGGACACCTGGCAACCCTAACACTAACATCTATAATACACATCTGGAAACTGAGCACTTTTTTTCCAAAGATGGCAGGGTTTGAAATTGTGTAGCTTGGATGACTTTACACACTGATAGCTTAATGCCACAAAGGAAATATTTTTTTAAAAATGAATTGCTTTTTTTCTTTGCTGTTTGATCTTTTAGTTACCATCTGACAAGCCTATATTTAAGTTTCCTAGTCTCAAACCTGATTCAGTTTAAATTAGTTTTCTCCCTGCTCATGTTGGCAGTGAGAAAGCAGTACTCCTACAGTCTAGGACCATGTTACAGGCAGTCCCCGAGTTACGTGGATCAGACTTATGTCGGATCCCTACATATGAACGGGGCTTTTCTCGCTGCGGAGGACGCAGGCGGCAGACCCCCCAGCAGACCAGGGAGACGCGGAGCAAAGCTGT